CCAATCACAGCAGTGTCCATTTACTTGCATTTCTGAAAGAGGTAACACCCTTGAAGGGTGTTTTTGACAAAGTGAAAATGATGTTGGAAATTTTTATTTTTACAAATAGTTTACAAATAACTTTTTAGGTGCCAAAATTTTTTGCTAGCTTGATATGCTAACCTCCAGAAACATAATATAAAGTCTGAAAATGCATTTCAGGGCCTCTTTAAATTTACCAGAAATTATGCCTCTTCCAAGTCACTAATATAACGTCGGTCATGCATATTGGTTAAACATTATGCAAATATTTGTTTGCATTCTTGTTTATCACTCATGGATGCCAAAACATTATTATGATTACCACTCATCAAAATGTCAGAAGTGACTCTGTAGGCACCGAACAAACAATAAGTTACAGGATTCACTCCTTAGACTTTGCAGTGTATATGTGCCAAAAGTGTTCTGAGTGGTACCTGATAAAAAAATAAGTGTGATCCCTTAGAAAAGTAACAGCAAGCTTCTCAACAAGCAGTGTGACTGAAAGAGCAGGTCATATGGTATTTTAAAGTGTCCTAATATTGTGTTGGAGTCCCCTACAACAGGTTTAAATGCATCTAAGGTCAGAAAACATTGTAATTTTCTCAGAATATACATTTAATATTAGAGTCATTTGCCAATGATTTCGAAACGATTCGTTCCAAGCAAGTTCAGAGCAAACCCCTCCCTTCCATAAGCCTGTTCTGCTCTGATTGGTCAGCTGGCCAAACCTGTTGTGATTGGCACAGAGAGGAGTCCTTGAGCAAGTTAGCGAGCGCTACCATTGAAAAAGCACCTTTACATAGAACAATAATATAGTGCTCCAATCCGTTCTTATAATAATGACATAAAATACAAAAACATTTATGCAAGCGAATCGTGCCCACAGCTTAAGTTTAGCTGCTAAACCAGGGTTATTCAATTGGCGGCCCACAAGCCCAATCCAGCCCACCAATCATCTTTATCCGGCCCGAGGGAAGAGTACACGCAGGTCGCACATACGCCTTGAATTGTTTTTGCACTAATTAGTTTGTCCACAAGGTGGCATCACTGGCCTGGGCCGGGTGGCATCACTGGCCCGGGCCGTTGTTTCACACAGCCAAAAAAGAAAAGGAAGAGACGCAACAACAACCTACCGGAGTCCGCAACATCAATAGACGGCAGCGTTGACAAGCGCTTGTGTGAGGGGGTTATGAGATATCCACAGCTCTAGTTTAAACGAGTATAAAGACTGTTATCGATCATAACTTCTGGCGAGAAATAGCGCAGCCACTGAACGAAGATGATTATCAGATGGAGTACAGTTTGAAAGGCTGCGCGTTCGGCTGTACGCACACACGCCGAGATGCTTCAGACAGCGCGCCAGTAGCTCTTCAACTGACAAAAACACAAAATTATGCCAAAACTATAAAATACAATTTATAATTTATGTGAAGATTGTTTTAAGTTCACTTAAATTAAAAGTTATATTTTTCAGAGCCTACTATATATTAAAAATAATGTCTTTCAATTATACTGTAATGTTCCATGGCTATTAATTAATGGCTAAAATTGAGGTGAAAATGTAATTAATCGAGACATCAGTAGCAGTATTGGTATCAAAAATACTGGCCTTTGTTAATAATAGGCTACTTAGTAAAGAGATGCCATTAAACATATTTAAAATATGGGTTGTTTCTACATTCATTTGGAGGTTCAATGTGAAATTATGACAATATATTAATATGCAATTAATCATGATTAATTACAGAAAAATGTGTGATTAATGAAATTTTTTTAATCGACTGACAGACAGCACTAATGTTTTTTTATAGATGTTGGTGTTGGTAATATTAGTTTATTTTACTGCTGAATATGCATTTAAATAGATTTTTTTATTTTATAGGCCCCCCCAGAAAGAGATCGGGACGGCCCCCCCTTCCCCTTGGACCCCTTCAAATTTTCAATTCAATAATCCGGCCCTCAAATGAAACTAATTGAATAGCCCTGTGCTAAACTGTGAACACTTAAAACAATAATGGTGGATACGTCCGAGTGCTAACGTGACTAACTGATGAAACAATACAGTTTGTAAACCAAAATATGTCTATACTGTAATGTTTGAAGAACGACAGACAAAAGACGCTCTGTCTTAACTTTTAATCAGAACACAGAACAGCTGTATCACAGGCGCACCAGCCTAACTCGCTCGTCTCTCCCGCATTAACCCTATAACTGCCGGTGCAGCAAAATAAACAGCAATTTCACAATGATTATAAAGTCTGTGTGCTACACTACATTCTTTATTATTAAACGAAGTAATTAGAACGTCAGTCTACATTAATCGACACATTCTTAGGAAATAGTGGGTTCACAGCGAATTATCAGAACTACTTCAGTAAGATCGTGCTTTACCTGGAAACCTAAAGCTGCACTAGGTATACATCACATATTAGCACAAAAACTTGATATTTTGAGCACTCAATTGAAAATGTACACATAACGTATCAATCGTACTTACAGGTTGTGGTTCGGAGAGTTTGTTAGTCCAAATTAAGAAGATTAGAAGCCAACGAAGATAAAAACCAAGATTAGAGAAGCAGTCCTTGGTAAAATGACATGCACACAACAAAAGGTTTGAATTGTATTTCTGTGGTATCCTTGAACACAGCGTCTTCACGGGTCTTTCGCGGGGGTTAACGACACCAAGATTTGGAGGTTCAATGTGAAATTATGACAATATATTAATATGCAATTAATCATGATTAATTACAGAAAAATGTGTGATTAATGAAATTTTTTTAATCGACTGACAGACAGCACTAATGTTTTTTTATAGATGTTGGTGTTGGTAATATTAGTTTATTTTACTGCTGAATATGCATTTAAATAGATTTTTTTATTTTATAGGCCCCCCCAGAAAGAGATCGGGACGGCCCCCCCTTCCCCTTGGACCCCTTCAAATTTTCAATTCAATAATCCGGCCCTCAAATGAAACTAATTGAATAGCCCTGTGCTAAACTGTGAACACTTAAAACAATAATGGTGGATACGTCCGAGTGCTAACGTGACTAACTGATGAAACAATACAGTTTGTAAACCAAAATATGTCTATACTGTAATGTTTGAAGAACGAAAAATGTTCATACCGTTACATCCCTAATGACGACTCGTTAAGGCGATTCAGAATCAACTCTCTCTTTTGAGAGACAATATCTTTATTTATCATACACTTTTTTGATTAACAACTTTGCAGATTGTTTTCATTTAAGGATAGCTACGTTATAAACTGCAAAAGAGATATTTTTCAAAAACCCATATGACCTGCTCTAGAAAGGAATGCATTCCTGTAGCTCAAACAGTAAAGCATGGCGTTAGCAATGCCAAGGTCATAGGTTTGATTTCCAGTGAATGGATGAACTGGTAAAATGTAGAGCATGAATGCAATATAAGTTGCTTTGGTAAAAACAGCTGCCAAAATGTAAATGTAAAAATCATTGTTAAAAAAACGTGCAGGAAAAATTAAGAGTTTACAAAGTTAAACATTCGGGGGTTTGTTTAAATCCCTAACTTTCAGTATGAGAAACAGAGATGCACCACAAACAAGTCCCTGAAGAACGAGTTAGAATGGAACTATATCAGTCTGGACTCTCTGCTGCATCAGATTAATGAGAGTTAGTAAGCCTTCTTATTGACAGGGATGAGGCACATGTTGAATTCTCAAACTGAAAGCAACAACAAAAACCTTCTGAAAGCTTTGAGCCTAGAGCAAAGAGATTTGAAGACAATAACAACCCATTAAAATACTCATTAAAATAATTTTCTGTTTCAGAGACAAATAGAAACAAGTGTTTAGCAATTAATGTGAACAATCAAAAATTAATCAATATAAACAGACAACGAGATGAAGAAAAAAAAATAATAATCAGAGACTCTGAAGGAACCCGCGAGAATAAGCCTGAATATCTTCAGCTCTTGGGGAGGGAGTGGTTCAATTCACAGAGCACAGAGTCGACAGAGTTCTGACAAACAGGTCTTGCAGTTTTTAGCACGACTGCGGTCACAAATGCCTTCTCCCGCTCAAAGAACAAGGGTGGCCGTGGCAAACCGTGTGGAATTACTTTGAACCCATGATTCAAAGCTCTTACGTAAGTAAGCTCTTCTAACTCTGCCACACTTTTTTTCTTCTGTCTCCCTCATGCTGCCTTTGTTGTCTCTCTGTATGGCACGGCATCAGAGCAAGTGGACCATTCCCAAACTATCCCAATATTAAGGACTACGGAGTAGCTCCTTACTCTGGTACTAGGTAATTCAAAACCTCTGTGTTGCTTCAAAACTAGATCAGTGGACAACAGTTCGTGCATTCCACATCTTCAAAACAGTGTGGTAACTCACAAGGCATTTAGGCCTTTTTACTTTTATTTAATCTTTAGCACTAAGCTAAATCTGCAGACCGAAATGATCTTTGAGCCCACAGACGATTAAGCTTACAGACAACCGCTGAAAAATTGATGAAAGAAATCCATCAACTACACAACCGAGGAGGATAAAAGACCGGCCGGCCGGCGTAGCCAGTGACTTCATCAACCTGCGTGCTGAATGAATGCAGAACTAGCGGCAGAATGCGCACTACGATCGGCGGCGAGGTTTGTTAATCACCCACTAATGAGGACACCAGAGTACTGATATTCAAATCTCTAAACGGTTCTCACTGAAAGAAAAAAAACCCCAAACATGAGCGGGGAGAAAACAGCAGGTTATTGCAGTTACCCACTCATTCACACCCACAGTGCAGCAGTGGGAATATCAATACATAAAGGATCATCACACAGCCTGAAGCCTCAAAAAAAGCTTCCCACATGAGCAAAGGTCATCATGTATGACACATGCAACATTGTGAGCTCATAGTAATGATGCGTCTACTAGCGTAAGCGTAAGTAAAGACCCTCACAGATCACTCTTTTCCAGTACAAAGGCTTTATGCTAGTGAACTTAAAGGATATCTGCCGCCCGTGCTTGTCAATGGGCCTGCGGTGTGGTGAGTTGATCCGATTGCGGTCTCGATGTACCCTTTCCACCAGACCATGGTGTCTGGTCCCTCGCACAGAGTCCAGTCCGGTGGGAAAAGTCCCCTGTGGAAAAACACCTTCTTGGTTAACACTTTCCTCACAAATGTAAAAATCTGTCATAAATGACTTAAATAGTAAAAAGACATCAGAGCCTCCATATTTCAGGACATGCAGAATAAACAAACAAAATACACACATAAATTTAAAAGTACCACCATTAGCTTGAGTCCCCAGGTGAATTCACTCTACTCCAAAGTGCTTTTACCTTTCTAGGTTTGGTTTCTGAGTCATGGCAGACAAAAAGTAGGGATCACTGCTCGATGTCTTAAAGAAGCTTTATTCACAGCAACAAGAGCACTTTCACCTGAAGGTATACAACACTCCTCTCCATAGGGGATAGACACAGATACAGTTCTTTGGCTCTTGGATCGCACCGCTGTATCAAGTGTACTTGTGGAGAAAGTAGTGTACTGAAGGAGTAGGCAAAGGGAGGGCAGACTAAGAGGTGGGGACAAATACACTCTTTGTTTTTTTAAGGAGAAGGTTTGCAATTACCATCTCTTGACATCGTTTATCTGAGGGTAGAAAATCAGAGCATATGGCTGGGGCTTATCTTCTTCTAAATGAACATGATAAGTGGATGGAGGGGAACTCAGGTACCTGGAAATCAGTGCTGGCATTGCCTATTTGGTTGACGTTGGGCAGCGAGCCACCGTAGTACTGTGCCCGGTTCTGTGACAGACGGAGCTGCTGGATCTTCTGGAACTGCACCTTTAATCAAGAGGAAGACACAGTGAATGCATTTGAAAAAGAAAGAAGAGTGAGAGTCTGCCGAGGCATTTTAGAACGTATGTATTTAACTGAGGTGGAAATTCTTGGAAATGAGTTTGGTTTTAAGTGTACCTCTGAGCTCAAGCTGGAGGACAGTGTGGATTTTGTTGTGCGGCAAGGGTAAACAATGAAAATGATCAATTCTGATCAGGCACAAGCAAATCAGGAGGCGTTCCTTCCACTTACTAACCAAAGGACAAAATTTGAATCTCAAAGACTGACCTCATTTAGTGATATCAATGGGTTACTACACATAAGCTCAAGTCCATTTTTTAATCCAAAACACAGACATTTTTTTAAGCCAGAGAACAAAACCTTAATTACACACTGCTTCGATATAGGGCTGTATAATATGACAAAAACATTGCATCATCTGAATTATATTGTAGTTGTTTTGACAGATTTTGGAACTGCCATTTGAATTGCAATTCAATAAATATTTAAAATCTCACATCTCTGCTAAGACATCAATGAAATAAATTAAACAAAGACAAAAAAAATACATTCAAACAGAAACAAGGTAGGCAAAAACTACAAACTCAGAAGCAATGTCTCCAAATTGTGTTATATTTTGCCCACACTATGCTGCTAACAAATAGAGCTGCTCTTTAAAGTTGTAATGAAATGGAATGAGTGAAAGATCTTTTGTACAATGAAATGGATCATTGATAAAATATAATATTTCATTATATTATTTTCATTTTATTTCGACATATTTCTATTCATCGGTTCTTGATTGGATGGAGGCAGATCTGAATGCCAACTTGAAATTAATTGTAAGAAAGGGGCAGGGATTAAGTGGACTAAAATATTGGAGAAGTACTGCAAACATCATTAGAGAGAAGTCTGTCTTTTCACTGGAAGATCAAGTTTTTTGAGATCAATGTAATTTTTATTAAAAATTACAAGGTCAAAAAGAAATGCAAAAATGATATGCATGGCTGAATTGTTCACAATTAGATAAACTAAGCTCGGGACACACCAAGTCGATGGTCGTCCGTCAGTCAACGTCGGGCCATTGGTGAGCGTCTGTTAGTTTGTTTGATATGTTCCACACGTCTGCTCTCATCAGACTCATGTTGGCAGTAGTTTGCCCGAATCGGCATCAGGGCCATCGGAGCAAGTGAGAACTCTGATTGGTTGTTCAGTTTAGTGAATGAGTCCATGCAAGAGAATTAAAGCAAAAGTTATGAAAACTAGTAAGTAAATGAAGGCTGCACAGACAGAAGGCTGTTCTAATGTTACGTGGTCTTACCCAAGCACTCCAATATGCGAATGATTTCATAACATGAGCTGCTTAAAATTATACAAGTTATCAGTGTTACTGATATTCAAAATGGTAAGCAAGCGCTGCTTTGTTTATGTTACGTCATTTCCTTTTGAATGACGAATATGTACTATTGATAGCTGCTGATATAGACAGCTAATTCCTCTCACGCAGGCGGAGAACGCACGTGTTAGTTTGCAGTCAGCTGTAGCGGTGAGTTCAAGTGCAGCCTTTTGGTCCAGATGCCGTCGGCTTTCATCGCTGCTAGTTCTTTGAAGTTGGCTTGGTGTGTCCCGGCCTTAAAGGGGTCATATGATGCGATTTAAATTTTTCCTTTCTCTTTGGAGTGTTACTAGCTCTTGGTGTATAAAGAAGATCTGTAAAGTTGCAAAGACTAAAGTCTCAAATCCAAAGAGATATTCTTTATAAAAGTTAAGAGTCAACAACGCCTACCTAAAATGGCTCGTTCTAACACGCCCCCACATGTCTACGTGTGCCTGGAACTGATCCGTGCTGGTCGCGAGGAAATACATCAACTTTGCGCTGTGGATCGCCGGATCAGCTTTCACCGTGGACGAAGCGGAGTCCAGCCCGGGGTCGTCACATGTTGTTGCCGCAAGCCCGCCCGCCGCCGCTCACTCAAGCCGGCCTCTGCTCACTCTAGGCCGCCGGCCGCCGCTCACTCTAGGCCTCCGGCCTCAACCGCATAAAAACATTTCATTACACCAAATACACAAAATAATGTTCTTTTTAGCAACATCATATGACCCCTTTAACATGCTCACTCAGTGACCCAAAGCAAAAACAAAAAGAACTCCGTTCTCTTCCCATTCACACTGTACCTGAACTTGAGAGTGGAATTTTGGTTCTTTTGGCTGTAAAAGGGTCTAAGTCTTCACTCACAATTAAGTCTAATGCAGTCAAGTTGGAAATTAATGTAATTGCGCTTATTCCACTTAAACTGTCAAAAACACAGTCTATGAAGTCTTAAGTGAATTTAAGTGAACAGTTGGGAGAAAATCAGATGTGTTTCATTACATTAGATCTTAAAATGACAGCAGATTAATAAACCTACTGCTGTCTGACTACAGTCATGTTAATTAGCTAAATAAAGATAAAATCATCACTGCTCTTGGCTGAAGAACTTTTGTAGCTTTAATAAACATCAATACCTAGCTAGGCCTATTTCATACAGTTAAGACATTTGGTTATTTTATTTCTTACTTGAATGCTGCCGTTAAATATGCCTACTGTATCTGAACATTTTAATTTATTATACATTCTTGTATCGTATTTGTCCTATTAATAGTTTAAAAAATAGCCAATAAGCTTTAGTTACCATGAACCATAATTTTCTACCTGCTAGTCGGTGACAGGAAGTATTAGAAGGAGCATTTGATTGGACAAAAATCTGTGAAGAGCATGATGCGTCAATGTTTTTGGTCCATTTTCTTGATGCTTTAAAAAGCCAACTTTATTTCAATGAACAGCGCAGTCCTATTTAGATGTGAGAAACACATTCATATATCATGCTTTGTCCATACTGGCCTCTACTTACATAACCTCACTCTAGATTATTGTGTTTAAAAAGATTGGCCATAAAACAACACACCACAAAATACTCCCTCACTCACATCACATAAAAGCACTAAGAAAATGCTACTTCAAACCCATTGCTGACACTGTTCCAGGCAGACAGCTTAGAAACACGGGCTTGTTAATAAACAAGCACAGATCCTCGCACTCAGCACACACTCTGGGGTCATGGAGAGTCACATCGAGCCTTTCAATGCATGCCGTTATCAAAACAATGACACCCCAGCTGTGGAGCAGCACCAAGCTAATTAGTGAAGCAGAGGATTTCCCTGGGGCAGCTTGCTTAGGCTTATGCTTTTCCTCGCCTGTCAACATCACACATTGTTATTATTACTACAGTACAACCTCCAGAAAGCATTTTCCATTATTTTCCATTAAAGGGGTGGTTGATTGCGATTTCACTTTTTTAACATTAGTTAGTGTGTAATGTTGCTGTTTGAGCATAA